AGTATGTAAATGCTTTACTCAAAATTAATAATAAGTTATATATCTTAAATTTTAAAATTATCTTTATTTTTGTTTTAACTTATTAAATATTTTTATTTTTGTCTTAATTTATTAAATTTATTTTATTTTTATTTTAATGTAAAAATATATATATTTTATCTTTATTATCACTTAAAAATATTTTTTTAGTATCTTAACTTGAAATATATTTAAATATTTTAGTATTAATTTAATATAAATATAAATACATTTTAATTTTATTTTAAATTTAAAATATATAATATTTTATTCTTATCTTTACTTAAAAATATATTTTATTCTTATTTCAAATTAAAATTATATTTTTTATTATCTTAACTTTTAAAAATATATTAAAATATTATATATATTTTAATTTAAAATAAGAGTAAAATATATATTTTTATATTAAATTAATAGTAAAATATTTAAATATATTTCAAGTTAAGATATTTAAAATTATATATTTTAAGTGATGATAAAGATAAAATATATATTTTTACATTAAAAATAAAAACAAATTTATTTAATAAATTAAGATAAAATAAAATTATTTAATAAGTTAAACAAAAATAAATATAGTTTTAAATTTAAGATATATAACATATTATTAATTTAAGATAATTTTAAATCTAAGATACAAGATATATACCATTTGTTGTCCAAAATATATCAAATGGTTGTCTTGGCTCAATGGTTTGGCTTGCATTATTTCACTCAAGAGTCTTATGTTATAAATCTATTAAATTAAAAATAAATTAAAATAAATTTAGTCTTCCAATAAAATGATGACGTGTCATGAAAAGTGTGTAACAAATGACACATGACACCTCCTGATTCGTAGGTAAATTTATTTTAATTTATTAAAATTATGATCAAATTGAAAGAATATATAAATAACATGAACTATTTGTGTGATTATACCATCTAGGTAAGCCTGTTAACTGTTGTTAACGGTCAACGTGTGTTTTTCGTCATTCTTGTTAACGACTGTTAACGTCGAGTGACTATTTTGTAACAAACGATAATGTTAGTGACCGATTTGTGACTTTTGAAACATTCGTGGTGAAAATGAAAACTTACCCAAACATTAATGATCATTTGAGTAGTTTACCCTTTATAATATCATATTGGGGTAAAGTATACAAATGATCACCGATTATAGAATGTTATTTATTGTGCTACTGATTATAGGATACTATTTTATTAAGTCTTTGGTCTTTTAAAATTTTTAAAATGATTATTCGATTATTCATATGTTTAAATTCATCATTTTTGTTAAATAGTTGACGGTTGTATGAGTTGAACATTAACATACTAACTGTGATATGATAAAATTAAATTTTAGTGATGTCCACTGGAATCGTTGTTACTTTTAAACACTGGTTCGATGAAAAAAATGTTTCAATCATTTGCTAGATGACATAATATATATGTTTATCCATAAAATACAACTTAAACAGTTTTGAGATCAAATTATATCATATTTCAATCAACATGTTAACGTCCAACTCATATGGTCATTAGTTTTTAACAGAAAGTGAAGAATTTATAAAATATGAATAGTTGGGTGACCATTTAATTTGTAATTTTAATAGTTTGAGTCTCAACAAAACATCGTCTTATAGTCAAGAAATCATTTTATAACTTTTAGTAATTAAATGACTTAACAAAATAATATTCTATAATTGAGGTACCATTTGTATATTTTACCCAACATATTGTCGGTCGTCTATAAATTAAAAAAAATTAAAAATCTGACTGGTTTTATTTTAGTTAGTATAAATATTGTTGAAATAATTTTACTGTATAACATAGAATTATGTTTAATCAACCATATCTATATGTTATTTTCATAAATAATAGTAGGAATATGTTATTTTTATAAATAATTTTAGAATATATATATTTAAATAAATTAATCGTAATATTTAGATGATATAAATTTAAATATACTTAAATATATATTATCATTTTATTTAAAGATTTGAAAGATTTATGACATAAATATTGTATACAAAATTTTCATAAAATAAATTTTAAAATTTATCATATAAACATGTCACTTTGATAGATCGAATTGATTTTAAATTGTGACAATTGAATTTTAATATTTTTGAGTCATTTGATTGGAAGATTTAATTTTAAATCATTTTAAATTTATATGTATTTATATTCGATTTATTTTATTATATTAAATTAAGTTAAGTCGAGTTTGGATTTAGAAATATGAAATTTGATTTTCAATTTTAGGGTAATATGCGATGAATTTAATTCCATCTATTCTTGTACTATATTAAAAAAAACTACATAATAATTTCCTATGTAAAGTTTCTATCTCCCTCAGAAATTGAACATGGAAAATAATATTTGGTTGAATAATCTTTTTGACCCTCTAATTTTATCAGTTTAATAATTTTAATCCTTAAATTTGTATCATGTCTCTTTTAAGTCTCGATCTTTTTTTTAATCAAATTAATTCAAACGTTTATTCCTTCACGTGGTTTATGAATCTTTTTGTTAATGATTATAATATTTTTTTCTTTATCATAATTTAGTATTAAAAATCAAACACAGTATTAATACATTTATATACAATTTTTTTTTTGAAATAAGGTACTTTGTATTATGGAAGTTTACAAAGTAGACCACCTTATTTAAAAAAAAAATACATTTATATACAAATTGATTACTATTTTTGCTGATTGTAGCGGCCACTAGAATCTGATCTCTATTTTGGGAGGAAGACAGGACCACTAAATGTTTTGTTTTCAACAACCTTTGTCTCTTCAAACTACTTAGTTGGTTTTTATTTGTCAACCCTAAGTAATTGGAATTGGACCACTAATGAAGAGATTCAATTGTGGAGATTTGATTGTGGTCTTATAACATATTTGGTAATTTTTCCTTCAAATTTGTCAAAATAAAATCTTATCAAACAAAAAATAAATTTAATGATTCATCAAAATGTTCATTTTTTATATCTCCTCCACAAATAATTTCGTCAAAAATTGAAGTCTTTTAGTCAGAGAGTCCTCCGAAGGGTGTCCTCTGTCAACCACACACTCCAAAATTCAATGCTCTACAACCAATCATCATGTATGAGTACTAGCAAACTCACGTGATCTTCTAGAATCAAATATATTATCAGAGGCATATCTATCCAACCTACTAACTTACAAATAATCATCTTGAGTACCCTAGGTCTAATATTGACACCAAAGAACACTATAAAACCTCTTAGTCAAGATTGAGAGAGAGAGGGACAAATAATCTTGGTCCTTACCTTCATCTTTATGTTCATCATCTTCTTGTATTATATTTTTCACTTGGTATTTTTTAATTATACGATATTGACTCTATGTAACATCACCATGAATCACCAGTTGTAATTTTTCGTCTAAATTAAAAAAAAAAGTGAATCGACTTCAATCGAAACAACCCAAATATTATCTTCTACCTTAGTGATATAAAAGAACTCAAAATGCATACGACCAATAATTATTGGTTCAACATTTTCTCCATGTGGAATTTTTTAATGCTGTGGGGACACTTTGGAGTGTTCAAGATGCATGAATTTGAGCAAACTATAATATTTTAGACCAATTATTAGTGTCTATCCAGTTTTGAAATGAAAACAATGACACTGAATTTGATTATTTTCTTCTTTTAATATTATCATAGGTTGAAGCTAAGGCATTTGATATTACAAGGGAGGAGAGATGTTGCATTCAACCTACACAGTTGCAAAAGGCATTGATGTGTGTCAAAAAAGAGTGTACAAACAACATGGATTATGGCTTTTCATTTGTCCCTCTCTAAGTTGTATTGTCTTTGGAGTATTATTATGGTTTCTCTTTTGGTCTTGGGTTTCTTATCAAAGCCCCTCACCCTAGGCATAGCCTCTCTCTTTTCTTCTTCTCTTTTATGTTTGGTCATAATGATTCCAATCCAAAATATTTTAATAATCAAAATAGTAATTTTAAATGTTTATATTGGTATACTTTTATTTTACTATTTCAATATTAAATACATATATAGATAAGTGAAAATAAACGATTGGGACTAATAATATTATAGCAAGAAATGAGAAGATATTCATTAAAAAAATATTAAGATTATAGAAATGATAATAGGAAAGGACTAGAAGCTCAAGCTTGCATTCATTAAAGGGAAATGGCATGACATCCATGCTAGTTTGGTACTACTCCCACACGCCACGGGCAGCACAAATGTTGTGCCTTTCTCATAAAGACAACCCCTTTCCTCAACTCTCACACGCACACTTCGAAAATCTTTTCATGTTATTCCTATAAATATAAATGCAAATAAACTATTAAACATATCAAAATAGTTTCACTATAAGAATTGTTAGATTTATTTTTTTACTTAATCAATGATAGATTTAGAAATATTTTTGAGGATCAATATATATATATATATATATATATATTTGTGAATAAACACAAATAAAATATCAGAGTAGGCACAATTAATTGAACAATTAATTAACAATGTGAAATTTCAAAATGAATATTTATGGTATACTAGACCATACAATCTTTGAAAATCTAACCCATCTCGTCTCGTCTCTCTCAAAAATTTAAAAATGACATTTTAATAAATATACCATAACATAGTAGAACATGCGAGTTTCAACCAAATTCGACTCTACACATTTTAACAAAAATTACGATTTAAACCTCTGAAAACTCTATTTAAGAAAAATCGAATCAAATCACAACCCGAAAAATTCTAGTTCTTGTAGACCCGAAGCCCATAGTGTGAAAGGAAGGCACTCCCTTTGAAGCTGGCACTCACAGTCTCACACCAACCAGCCTCTTCCCGTTTCACTCTTTGCCTTTCCCCACCAACCATAACGCCCAAGCAAGCTCTCTTTTTGTATTTAATTTTTATATTATTTATTTATTTGTTGGACCCAAAATATAAAATGAGAATGGCACAAAAGGAAAACTATCCACATTCACGAGACCAACGTGCCCTCCCAATCACATATAAACCCCACAAAGACTCACCACCTTTCCACATTTGCCATCTTGAAAACCCAAACCTAAATCGCCCTCGAAATGGCCGAGCCACACTGCCATGCCATGTCCGAAACTACCCGTAGGAAGGGCCCCGGAAAACGAGCCAACATCTCCGTCGAGGCCGAGTCGGTGATGGTACCGGAAGTGGCCCCGGCCCCAGCAGCACCGTGCGGTGCGTGCAAATTCTTGAGGAGGAAGTGTATTAGTGGGTGCATTTTCGCACCCCACTTCGGCTCGGACCAGGGTGCAGCGAAATTCGCCGCGGTTCACAAGGTTTTCGGTGCTAGCAATGTTTCCAAGCTCTTGCTTCACATCCCCGTGAACCGGCGGCACGATGCGGTGGTCACAATATCCTACGAAGCTCAGGCCAGGCTATCGGACCCGGTTTACGGTTGCGTCTCGACCATACTTTCTTTACAACAGCAGGTTAATCTACACATACACTACCATGTTTTAGTTTCTTCCAAATTCATTCATTTTTTTTAAAGGAAACCGATTAAATATTTTGAGTTATATATTTGTTTTCATCGTTTTAGACTCGAGTGAGCGTTATCTTCACGTTTTTCTCATCACTTGAGTGAGCGTTAAATATGAATATGTGTCCAACGTAAATATATATAATTTTATTAGGTCTTTTATATATTTAAAATATCATACGTTATACTAATATTTGAATATCTGTAATATACATTTCAATTATTTGTGAAAAAAATGATAAATCTAAATAACATTTTCAAAAAATAAGATTAATTTAGAAAAATAATCTCCAAAATTCAAGATTTAAATTATTTTCACTTTAATTATGATTAAAGTGACATAGAAGATGAATATTTGATGCATTGACGATGATATTTATTCAATAAATTAAATAATAAAACATCATTTACTGACCGGACATAAAATTATAAGTCGTAAATGTATTAAATATAAATTTATATATTTTTACGTATAATTTTATCATATGATAAACACCAAAAGATTGCTGAAATAATTTCTTACAAAAATATTGCGACGTTGAGCTAAAATATTCTTTATGATTTGCCAAAAGCATGATATCTAAAATCATTATTATTAGTTTTTCCTTTAAGAAAAAGAATGTTATCACTTGAGCCTTAAATTTTTATATTCTTTGATTTTAGTCCATTTAAATAGGTTGTACTTGATATTTGTGAAAAGAAATAAGTAATTCATGTCTCTGGATTCGAATTGCTGATTCTTTTTACGAAGTTTATTTGTTTCGCAGGTAGCATCGTTACAAGCCGAGCTAGCGATGGTGCAAAATCAGCTGATCAACAGTCGATTCGCAATGGCGAATGCCCTTCAAAGCTCGCAGCAACAGCAACAGCAACACAATCATCATCACCAACAACATGAACAACATATGGCATTGCTTCGACCAGCATACTCGAACAATTCATCGGCATCTAATAATCTCATAAACATAAGCAACTTCGTCTCCAATTTCGAACTTGTGGCCGATACTAGCACCACTGCTCCTAATTCTTCTCAAAGCATGGACCATCTTCAGCTCTCCATGCCGTGCCATGACGACGAGGACGACGAACAAGATAGCCGGATTCCCCCCATTTACGCCAATCAAATCATTCATCGTACATAATCTTTATGATATCTAAATATCTATCTATCTATCTATACATATTTTCCCTTTGAAATAGATGAACTTATGAATTTATTATTTGATAGACATATATGCTTGGAGTTTCTTTTCTATCCAATGAGAGATATTTCTATCTTTATATTAATCTTAATAAACCATATATTCCTAAACCAATATAAAATAGACATATATAGTTGATTTAATGGTAGATGATCTACTAATCTTCGGGTGGTTCATCGTCTTTGGGAACTTTGGCACCGACTTCCTCGTAATCTTTCTCGAGAGCAGGGAGATCTTTGTGTATGTTATTGCTTATCATACACACCGCACGTTTTACCTCCGCCAGATCACCTCCGGGTACCACCGTAGGCGGCTGATAGTTGATTCCACACTTGAAACCGGTTGGACACCTGCACGAACATCGATGTTTTCGCCAAAATGATCGTAAAATTGCTTATACATTATTCATTTGACTGGAATGTTGGATTAAAACGACAACTAACCAATCTACGAACTGAACCGTTGCTGAGTTTTGATGGAACGAACAGCGGCATTTACTTCCTTCGGCACGACATCCCCGTGGTACATCAAACAGCATGCCATGTACTTACCGTGCCTGGGATCACATTTAGCCATCATGCTTGCCGGTTCGAAAATAGCGCTGATAATCTGAGGAACCGATAACTTTTCATGGTATGCCTTTTCAACCGAGATCACCGGGGCATGTGATGAGAGCATGAAATGGATACGAGGATACAGCACGAGGTTTGTCTGGAACTCGGTAATGTTGACGTTTATAGCACCATCGAACCTCAACGAAGTCGTCAAAGACGAGATAATTTGAGATATCAAGCGGTTCAAATTCGTGTAAGTTGGCCGTTCGATATCAAACGATCGCCTGCAGATATCGTATATAGCTTCGTTGTCGAGAAGCACTGCAACATCATTGTGTTCAAGGAGAGAATGTGTTGAGAGAACGCTATTGTAAGGTTCCACAACTGCAATAGAAACCTGCACAATTGGAGATAACCATTAGTAACATGCACAAGTTTTAACAAAATTTGAGTTTCATATTTCGAATTAGACTGAATTTATTAAATTCGAACAATTTATCGGATTCGGATATTCGATCGATAATATAATTTAAATCGAAAATTACCTGAGGAGAAGGGTAGATGGTAAAGCCAAGTTTAGGCTTCTTCCCATATTCAACAGACAATCTTTCCAAAAGCAATGAGCCTAAACCAGAACCAGTCCCACCCCCAACAGCATTAAACATAAAAAACCCTTGCAATCTACTGCAGTTATCAGCCAATTTTCTTAATCGGTCAAGGCATACTTCCACAATGTCCCGACCGGCTGAACGGTACGGTAACAAATCAACGACTTGGACTAGAAACTGACTATTAAAATTGACCTGAAACTGAAATGATTTCAACTCAAAATCGAATGAGTTTAATGTTGTACCTGTATAATGTCCTCTTGCAAAGTTATTAGCAGCATCTTACTTGCCGGAAATAGCCTTACCCCATTGCATATGGGAATAGGGTTTTGTTGTTGTTGTTGTTACTTGCCGGAAACAAGTTGCTCAGGATGGAACAGTTGTCGATAAGCCCTGCTTCGAACTTCGTCGATGATTTTCGGCTCTAGGTCGATGAACAAAGCTCTCGGGACGTGCTTTCTGGATCCGGTAATACTAAAGAAGGAGCTGAAAGCTCATGGTTGGCGCCTTCATTGGCCACACTGCATGCAAGTACAATGAGCTTTATTATCCATTTATGAATCCCATATTCTCTAAAAATTATAATTACAACTTAATACATTATAAAATTACATTTTTCTCCCTTCAAAATGAAAAGAAAATGTCATTTAGGCCAAATAATTGTAAAATTTGAAGCTAATACAATTTGATCCTACAACGCATAAATGATTAAGATGGTCGTTGAATGATACATGCAAAACAGACATAAAGGACAATAATGATGACATAATTCATATGCAAATATACATAAATTATGATGACGACGACGACGATATGATACATGCAAAAAAAAAAAAGATACATATGCATGCTCTAACCTAGGCATCATGCCATCAGGCTGAATCCCATGTTCAAGGCAATAAAGCGCCCAACATGAATTCCCAACTTGAATCCCTGCTTGTCCTACATGAATGCTAATCACTTCTCTCATGTCTTTTCTTTCCTTTGTTTTTCTCTCTCTCAACATATATTTACAATATATGAAGGAAAAAAGTTGAAAGAGAAGAGAAAAGAAGAGACGAAGAATGAGCGTTAAAGAAGAAAAAGCTCGAAAACGGGTATTAATTCATCATTAAACAACCACAAACAATGAAGAGTTGGTTAAAGTTTCGCCCCTTGGAGCCATCTAGAGGGTGTGCGTCCATTGTTTTACTTGCTCTTTTCATATTTTTTTCTTTATTTCTTTATTTATGTTTATCTAGTCCGATCATTGTATTGTAAACAACTCTTACCTCAACTCTCTATACTTGTGGAAAGAGGGTTCAAACTCTACTTTTTGAACAATGTATCATGCATTAGCTTGATGAGCAAATTAATGCTCAAGTAGCACAAGACTAGATTGAGAATACTCCACAATCACATGACAAACATCAAACCAGTTACATACTAAAACCATATGCATCATACTATATAACACAATTACAACACGGTTTTACATCTCCAATCCACAATATAATTGCCTTCTTTCCCTGTACAAGAAAAAAAACAATGTCATTTCATATTGAAAATACCAATGGAACTTCATTTGATTATTAATATATGTATTAGTATGTAATAAAGATTGTGAAATCACCTGTGAATAATCATAATTCTAGTAGAAACAGTCCTTGAATGTGATAGAAAGAACATGTTGGACTTTGCCGAGAGCCTCTGCTCTTTTCTCCACTCTTTCTTTGAATTCCTCTGTCATATCCTCAATCTTCAGTTGTTGGAGGGTTTTAATGAACATCAATTCATCCGGAAGCATCGTCAACCCCCTGCAACAATCAATCTGCAATTGTCGCAGACACCGCATGGCTCCTTCCTCGACCTTCCACTCCGCCAAATGTCTGAGATATTCAAGGCTTAGGGACTCAAGTTTAGAAAAACCTTGTGCAGAGCAAAACATCACATTTCCAGTGAAAGCATCCAGATGCAATTCCAGAACCCTCAAGTTAGGCAGATTCTCTAGTGTTGGCATTGGATCTTCCCCAATCTTGCACTTTCTCAACTTTATGTAAGCGAGATTCGGAGATAAGTGGTCGTACTGTGGTAACTCTTTTATCTCCACATCTAAACTCAACTTACAAATACTAACACAGCTTGAAAGGAGGTGATTCAAATGTTTTGGATCTATTCGTCCTATATTATTGAAAATGGACAAGGAATGAAGATATTTACTCTGGATGATGGGTGCATTCTTATGCAGGTCCTCCGCATTAAAATCTTCGATCTCGAACGCCCCCCGAATCTCCAACTCTTTAAGATTTGTCATGATGATTAGATCCTTTAGGTAACAATCCTTGGTGCTGAAGTTAACAAGTGTTTGGAGGTTTCTCAAAGTACCCAACTTCAACTTTCTTATAACTTTAAATTTCATAGGGAGATATAGATGTCTTAGTTGCTCCATCCTCCATATCACGTTGGGTACAAAAACTACATTATCAATTCTTAAATCCAAGGTTTGCAAGCACCTCAAGTTGCCCAGTGATGAGGGTAAACATAAGAATTCAAGACCCCTTAGACTCAAAAATCTTAAATGGACGAGATTACCTATATCACTTGATAACTTGCATCCTCCCAAGGAAGAATCAGCTTTTCCTTCATAGGTAAAGACTCTCAGCAATTTGAAAGTGTTGATCATGTATGTGAAAAGTTCATTTAGTCCAGGAAGCACCACAAAGAGAAGCAAGAATATTGCAATTGAAATATAGAGACATCCATTTTCATCTGAATCTTCAAGTTTTTCCAAGTAATCAAGCATTTTCCGGGGCACCGGTTTTCTAAATTCCTTCATCTGTTTCCAAAACTCGAAATCGTATGAATACTCACTGAAGAACACAAGTGACCGAAGATTTGGACTTTTAATGCGCTGTATCCGAAAAACATCGGTTGCAGAAACTCTATGGATCCTTCGTACTGTGGAAATCGAACATTCATTTGACTGATCAACAGCGCAGAGAAAATTTTCTTGTTTTGCTTTTGACAAGCAAAGATTTCTCATGAGATCGTGCATTTGAACTGTTTTGATCTTTAAGGTTGCGACGTCTCTTTCTCGTACTTGGACCATGCACCTTTCTACAAGCTCGAGTAAGTAACGTTCTGCCAAATCTTCTGTTATGCTCCCTTCATTTCCATCTTCTTCCTCTGATAAAACGATACCTTCAGCAACCCATAGTTGAATCAGTCTATCGACTTGTATCTCAAAATCTTCCGGGAAATTGCTCAAGTACAAAAAGCATGACCTTAAGTAGTATGGCAAATCATCATAGCTTAATGCCAGCACTTCTTCCACTCCATGGCCTTTGCCTCTCTTCAAGTAGGGTATCACATTTTCAGCCACCTTTTCCCATTCATTTACTGAATCTTTTGTCACCAAAATTCCTCCCAGCACAACAATGGCTAATGGCAACCCTGCACAACGTTCAACCATTTCTTCGCCTAGATCTTTCATTTTCCCTTCATCTTTACTGCCTGAAAATTTTTAAAAATAAATAAATAAATGAAAGGGCTCAACAATAACAACTTAGACTTAGTAATGATATGCATTTGATTGCCCAAATATAAGAGCAAAGTAACTGTTGCTTGTAGAATGTATAAAGGGCCTGTTTGTTTAGTTGTAGTTGATTTTCCTAAAAATATTTTTCTTATTTTTTAATGTTTGGTTCAAGTGAAATGGATGATCAATATAAAATTAAGAGTAAACTATCTATTTAATGACTCATCTATTACTTAGTTATTATTTTGGTCACCAAACTATTATTTTGTTTCAAAATTATACCTAAAGTTACGTTTGAGTTCTGTTTTGGTCACCAAATATTAAAAAATTAACAGTGATATTGGCATGACATTTTATTATTATTTTTAGTACAATTATTTAA